AACAGCTGGGCAGCTCCACAGAACATTATCAATAAAGTTGATGTGTGTCAACGCAAACATCTAAGGCGTATCATCAACATGACCTATCCCCGCATCATCAGCAACAAGGACTTGTATGCTCGTTGCAATGTAACTCCACTCTCAGAGAGAGTTCATAAATCCCGCTGGAAAATGTTTGGGCACATTCTTCGTAGCGACTGCAACTCACCACCACAACTAGCTCTAAATTTTGCTGTTGATAGTATGTCAAATATGAGGGGAAGGATTGGTAGACATCAATGTAATATTTTTAAAACTATTTTAGACGATTTGAATAAAAGAAATATTAATTTGAATAATAGTGACGACTTGACAGACTTTAAGGTATTTAGCCTCGAACCGCCAATTGTGGAGAAATTTATTTTAAATTTGATTAGTTCGATAATTTCAGTTTTAAGTTCAATTTTTGCATAATTTTTGTTTTTGATAAGTTCAGTTTTAAGTTCCATTTTTTGTATTTATAGTAAGTTTTCAGTTCTACAAGTCTTTTAAGTAGACTTATCAGGTCTTTAGGATGTTCTTAGTAACTACTTTGGATTTGTGTAAAGTTTGATAATAATAATAATAACTGTTATACACATATCAGGTCCCTACTGCTTGTAATAAGAAATTGTATGCTATCAGCTATGATATGTAACTAATGTATGTAACACTAACATGTTGGCTCGCCGTTGGAATGTTCCCAGATCGAGAATATTCCTCCTTACCAAAATACGCGTGTATGGTGTAAGTTACAGGATCACGAGGTTGATAATTTGTCCACGTGACCGTTTGGCGCGCGGTGTGCACGTGGGCCCATGGGAAATTTCTGATACATGTGTTCCGTTGTCTGTACTTAGTTCACTATAAAGTATGACTTTATATGCGAAATTGAAAAAAAAACTATAGCTTAATAATGGAAAAATCAAATAAATGGAATGGAAAATGGTCTCGAAAAGTCAAAAAATGTGACTAAAATTGTTGTAGATTAAAAATTTGCGAAATTTGTGACTAAAATTATAGTAACCAAAATTATAGTAACCAAATTTATTGTGACCCAAATTTGTTGGCCCTAAGGTAATATAAAATATAAAGTTCCGTGATCCTGACTTAATATATACATATGTATATGCTCTACTAAAATTTTGGTCTACTTCAAAATTAGTCGCCGAAAATTTTAGTCACATGAAATTTGGTTTACAACAATTTTAGTCAAAAGTTTGACTAAATTTATGGTAGACTTAATTTGTCGTTCTTAAGTTAGCAGTGAATTAATGACTCTTGTTTCTTCTTCCAACCTGAACTTGATGAACGATGTTTCATGTTCACCATTGGATGAGATCGTTTGGTACTGTTTCGAGTTGAATACTGTACGATTTATTTAAAAAGTTAAGTGAGTTAAGGTCGGCTGATTGATTGTGGCCGGCAACCTCAGCAAGTGGCACATCCGTAAAAGATAGCGGTTAATGAGTTCCTAGTTGATTCTGCACCTCAGAAGACATGAATTGTGTTGCAGTAAGTTTATTAAATCTTCCTGCGATTCTTTAAGCCTTAAAATTCAACATTATCATAATTTGTCACCTACCCCTATCAGCCACTCCTCCTGGTACATTCTACGATAACATAATTGATAATGATTCTTAATTAAACTGGGTCGAGAGTTCCCCTTTTGAGCAACAAAAACACTAATTTCCTCGAAAAAGGGTCCGGTTCTATTGTAAAACAGTTCGTTACTGTATTCACAGTCACGCCGTTACTGAACTAAATTAGTCTGGAAAGTAACTTATAGTTATAAATTTCAACGTTTAATTTGCTGCTTTATTTCCCTGCAGCGATCAGTTTCCATTCCTTAGCTTTGTATTATTCTTGCGACACTAGCGTAGCCTTGCTGCCACTGGTCTGACAAATATTATTCTTAAACGCAAAAAGTTTTTAAAATTTTCCTGAGATTTTGAAGCCTTAAATTCAACATAATCATAATTTTTATTCTCAATCGCATAATTACATTGCTAACATAATTATAATAAAAGATACCATTATCACGTGATCATAACATGTGAATATCTCCCAGACTTTGGTCTTAGAACTAGCTATAAAGCTATAATGGCTGCTTGGTTACGTGCATTCTCCTGCGCTATACTTCTGTTTTGCATTCTACTTGGGGGAGCTGAGGCTAAACGACGACGACCAGAATCGGTAAGTGATATTAAATCGGAATGGTGATAATAAATTAATACGATTCAAAATGATTTGAAATCTACAGTAAACCTTCACTCCAAATGCAGAATGCTAGCTACAGTTTTCTAAAATCAATATTCAGATTCTAAACCATACAGATATCGTTCAAACGAAACCATGGGTACCAACGAGCGATTCGTTAATCATAAATTTTTTCAAGGGTATCCTAATGGCTTCGATGCAAGATAGCATATCTTTGCTTACTTCTATGACGACAAAGATGACGATACAATTGGATGAAGCAAGAACGGAGATTGAGCAGCTAAAGAGCGAACTTTCAGCGTCGCAAAGCAAGATGGTACAGTTAGCAGATGCAACATCTTCGTTGAAAAACGAATCTAAAGCCGACATAGAAGAGCTTAAGAGTGAACTTTTAAACTCGCAAAGCAAGATGGTCCAGTTCAAAAATGAATCTAAAGAGCTTACAAGTGAGTTGAAAAGCAACCTGTCAACTACAAATGGGAAAGTGGATAGCCTTGCAGAGAAACAGGTTGAGTTGGAAAGTACCACTTCCTCGTTAAAGAACGAACCTGCTTCTTGGCCAGAGGGATCCTACTGTTTTCTATCTAAAGGTGGTAGTTGCCCGGTGGGATTTACTAGGTATATCGGACATATGAAGGGAATTTACACGATTAGAAACAGTAATGGGTATACACAACCAATAACATTCGGGGACAGTTCCATTGGTTGTCGCCAAAGCTGTTCATATGGTTCACCCGAGTACAATGCAAATCTTGTGATAACGTCTTGTTGCAAATAGATAACAAAATCTGAACAGACTACAGTTAATGTATATTTCAATGGTATTTTGAATGTTTAATCACTCGAACAAATAACCGTGCAAATCCAGTTATACACGTTCTAAGACACTTTTAATATATTTTAACTGATCATTTGGTTTACTACATTTTTCCAATTATGGAGCGTGGAATTTATTTGAAATTTTATATGAAATTTTAAACAGTTATTATTAATTTAATTATTATTTACCGATTGGCAAGATATTTGTAGATCACAGAAAAACATTCAATAATTTGTATTTCTTCTTGAGTCATTAAAATAAATTAAACATAAAAAATGTAACCCTACCAAATCCAAACGTGATTTATTTATTCAACTATCTAGGAAAAGTTTTGGAGGACTTCGCCGCTTCGACGCGCCGCGCGAACTAGCATTCTTGCTTCGCATTCTTCGCATTCTTGCTTCGCATCGTCGATCGTTGCTCTGCTTCGCAGAGCAACGATCTCGATGGGTTGACATCGTCAACCAAGGAAAAGTTTAATTAAAGCATAGTAAGTTGTTTTGTTTACTAATAGTAATACTGATACAGTACAATATTAGATAACCTCCAAGTTACCAAATAAATGAACACATCAGTTGGCAGATAAAGAAGCACGTGACAAGTAACCAGATAAAGAAGCACGTGAAAAGTAACCAGATGAAGAAGCACGTGACAAGTAACCAGATAAAGAAGCACGTGATAAGTAACCAGATAAAGAAGCACGTGACAAGTAACCAGATCAACAAGCACGTGACAAGTAACCAGATCAACAAGCACACACCTGTCTCAAATACCCTCTCAGAATCTCCTTCTGTTCCAACAGAGGGTGTCCCCGGCCGTGTTTTAGGCTGCACTGCATCCCCAGTCCAGCCCGGGGTTTTGACTGAATTTCTCACCCGCAACCAATTAGTCAGTCAACTATAAATGGCAAAGCTTAACAAAACGAAAATTATATTTTCCAATTTCTGTCCCATTTTCAAATATGAAGATTTCTGAGCACAAATTTGACAGATTGGATGAAATTTTTGCCCAGAGAGCAATAAGTCAGTTAATTGATGATGGCATGAAACCCAATTGAGGTACTGGGATTCAAAATCACGAATAAAATTGCAAAATCATATTGTCCCATTCTCTGTCCCATTTTCGGTTTTTGAAGTTGAAATTGCCAGGAACCAAATTTCACAGTTTTAACTAAATTTCTCTCCCGCAATCAATTAATCAGTCAACTATAGATGAAAAATGACACGATTGAGGTGCTGCAAGTTTGATTTCGATCGGAGGAAGCTCGATCGTGGGAGAAAGCTTAACAAAACGAAAATTCATATTTTCCAATTTCTGTCCCATTTTCATATATGAAAATTTCTGAGCACAAATTTGACAGATTGGATACAATTTTTGCCCAGAGACCAGTAAGTCAGTTAATTGATGATGGTATGAAACCATATTGAGGTACTGGAAGTCAAAATCCCGAAGAAAATTGAGAAATCATATTGACTTCTTACCCTCGATGATGACTTTGCTTCAAAAGCCATCGATTGGGGACAAAACAGTCGTTTTATGAAATGCTGCGTACCCAGCTGACATCCCTGAATTTTATAGTCAAGTTATAGGTTGGGGAAATTAGCATGGATATATAAACATCCAAGAACAAATATTGCGCCAATATAAATAAGATGAAGTGAATAAGTGCATTCTGTCTGATAATGTACATGATCATCAAAATTAGCTTTCATCTTGATTCTCGATCAAAATCTTTAGTCTGGGCGTTACTCTCTCAGTTGAAAATTGAAATGTAAGTTTACAAGTAGAATGTGAGTTTGTACCTTGTAAAGTCAACAAGTAGAATGTGAGTTTGTACCTTGTTAAGACCCTGATCATCACAAGTCTGGGCTTTATAACAAAACCGTCGTTCTATGAACCATCAAACATGTGTGAGCTTAAAATCAGACGAATAAAACATGTATTATAATGAGGAATAAATTCTTCAAAAACTCTTCAACTTACAGAAGCACATTATTCTACATTCATGACTTTTATATTCTCATTTCAACATACCAGCATTCATCAATCAATTAATCAATATCATCTCTATTAAGGTGAAGGTTAATTATTATCATCAGTTCAACAAAATGATCTACTTTTATGTATTTGTGTTGTTAGGCCATCAATTCCTCGTAATCTAAGTAAAATCATAAAACTTAATGTACATGATTAACTAAAGTACCACTAGAATATTACCCGTTTGTTTAGACACAAGTTAAAATCTTTGTCCCCATAAAAATCACAATACACATTCTTTATTTAATCACTATATAATCTGATATTGTAACTAAAAGTGAAACTACCCATGAGTAAAACTATTGTTATATATTAACATTGAGCAGTGGGCCAAAATTACCTTCACATCAATTTGGATAGAACAACCGTTTCACACAATTCCACGAGGCCAACGCAATATAACATTACAAGCCAATCTTGGCCCACCCTATGGTTTGAAGAATCCATAAAACAGGATCCTGATGAAATCATATCATGTAGAAAGTGAACCTATTTACTTTCAAGGCCATTATATCATAATAAAAACACATCTCATCATCTGAATTCTGATTAAAGTTAGCATTTGGTCAGTCTCTGGACCAACACTGTGGTCTTGCGGAGTAACTAGTGACGTCATAAAATGTCACGTGATGTCATCATCAGGTGTGATCAGCTCATCTCATTCAGCACTCGAATCATCGTCATCCTCTGAGTCGTCGCTATCGGAAGAAAAATAACTGAAAAGGAAAGGTATTCGACTTTATTAAATTACTTTGTTACACAGTTTCAATAAGCCTTTAACAATAACTTTAAACTTTACTGATTGTTAAGTGATTTAGGTTACCCGTGTATAATTTCAAATCGGAGCAGCGGAGTTGATTTAACGGAAAGCAAAAGCAGATGAATAGCACCAAATCAAGGACACCAAATCAGAATCACATAACTTCGAACTTGACTACTGGTGGGGAGCTGCTGTAAATCGGGCAGAATAGGATGAGTATTACTCAGATTTATTAAGACTCTTTTAAAGGGGACACGTTTAGTTTTTACGAACACATCCCCACCAGTAATCCAGTCTTTCTACTATAAATATTTGATAGACATTTTATGTTTTTAGCTGCAGTCTATCAAGTGGAGCACACGTTACATACTTTGAAGTTTTGTATATCCAAACGTTATCTTTTGGTTCTGTACAAAGAAAATGCATACAAAAACTGGTATAATGTGATGAAATCCAGGTACGATCAGTCAGTTAAAGTTAAAATTCGAAAACAAATTCCTTGGAAAGCATAATAACCCTCAGTCAGCGTGTTTGTCTGTCTGTCTGTCTGTCTGGAGTATTTACCTGTCCTCGTCTTCGTCCGTCTCATCGCTTAGACAGCAAGGTTGATCAGCGGAGGACATGATGAGGATACCCTCACAGAACTTAGCCCCCATCTCCTCTAAGTGCTGCGTACCCAGCTGACATCCCTGAGTTTTATAGTCAGGTTATAGTTTGGGGAAATTATCATGGATACAGAACCATCTGACAACAAATAATAGCTTTAGTTAATAGGGTGAAGTGAATTAAAGTGCATTCTTTCTGATAATGTACATGATCATCAAAATTAGCTTTTATCTTGATTCTAGATCAACATGTATAGTCTGGGCTTTGCTCCCTCAGTTGAAATGTAAGTTTACAAGTAGAATGTGAGTTTGTACCTTGTAAAGTCTACAAGTAGAATGTGAGTCAACAAGTAGAATGTGAGTTTGTACCTTGTAAAGACCCTGGTCGGCACCACAATAAGAACTCTCCAGTGTGTAACTCCGTGTAATCCCGAACTGTCTCCAGAGTGCTACTCGTGCTGTACTCTCACGTGACTTCTCCACCGTAAAACAGCAGTTGGAGAAAGAGAAAGCTGGGGCGTGGATATCCAGGATTGTTGGGAGTAGCTGAGATGGGGAGAGGGGTTAGAGATAAAGTTGACAGAGGGAGTTAGGGATTATGTTTATTGTCGATGGAACTATACATAAAAAAGAAACAACTAATTTAAACTAAAATAATAAGTTACCTTGACAGTGGCATTATCTGCTGGTTGAGTGATGTTACCGTACATAAAGACATTCTTCTTGCGGCTGTGACCGTGGAAATCACAGTACAAGACAGGACGTTTACCTAGTGCTACTAACAGCTGTATCTGAAGTTAAACATGGGTAACAGCTTCTCACTATGCTATGCGGGTAGTCATTATTCTGTGTAAATAGCTCATCACTGGCGAAAAAAAGTCAAAATAAGTAATGAAGATAAAAGGAAACGTGATATCAAATTAAGAAACAGAGAAGTTATAAAAAACAGACGAACCACTCCTTTAGTGTGGTACAGGGTGGGGTAAAGGTTTGGATGCGGATTAATCCACTGTCGGTTCATGTCAACCCCTAATAAGGAACACCTGTGTGAACCATTGATAACACCGTCCGGATTCAACATGGGGATTATCTGCGGAGTATAGGGTTAGTTATTGTAATGTAATTATTATCAGTTTATACAATCAGGGGTGTAAATGTAGTGCGCTGTGCGCCTGAATGTCAAAACAGCGACTGCGAAACATTCAGTGTCAACCATGGCTGTAAAAAGTTTAAAGTTTAAACTTTATGACAGGACCGCCGCGAGCAGCATCCTGTCCAAATTCCAGATGAGTATTAATGGAGAAAATTTCGCCGTGCAAAAGGCCTAGCTGAGCAATTTGGCATTGGAGATCATTTTCAAACACAGTATTATGAACGATTCAAAATTCAAATATTACAATTATTTTAAATGTATATTATAGCCTGCCAGCAGCTCTTGCTAAATAGTAAAAAGATGTGGTTTGAAAAAGGTGCATAGGGAGCGTTCACATATGACATCAGCATTCAGCAAGATTTTAGCCAATTTTACAGACCCCCCCCCCCCCCCAATGACGTCAGCATTTGCCAGACCCCCTTGCCTTCTTAACCCCCTTACTTAATACTTACCCCCCTCCCGTCAACCATCGAGGGGGTATAGAAATGCTGACGGGTGTAGGCAGGGAAAATTAGTATGCGAATGATATAAACAGTTCGTCAACAGAGTTCAGTTCACCGAAGTACTAATACTAAGGAAATTAGCGAAGTTTTATTGTTAATAAAATTGATTTGAACCAAAAATTGTTCCCAAAATTCACGTTACATTTCTGTAAGGCTCAGACCCCCCCCCCCCCCCCCTGCCGGCCCCCCGTTCAGCATTTCCAAACCCGCCCTTTCCCTCGGCTGCTGACGTCCTGAAATGTGAACGCTCCCATACCCACAAATCAATTGTTCAATATTCCAGCTCAAACTTTTGAAGCTATCAGTATAACTAATACTATAAACTTATAAAGCTATAAGTGTAGACTGTCCCTCATCACGTCGATACCAATGGAATTGATATAATTAGTCGGTGCACAATAATGTTAATGGTGGTATGTCAACAAACCCCGCCTTAGTGACCCTATAATAGTACCCTATTATAATAGTACTACATACTATGACTAGGTGGTATTAGGACATGATACGATGAGGGAAAGTATCGACTGACTCCGAAAAACAAAGACGTAAAAGTTATTAAGAGTTTACGGGTACAAAACCAACATAGATAAAACTTTGAAGGAGAGCCAAGTTTGAGCTACAATACGAAACAATTGCACTGCCACAATTGAAATTTGTATCTGATGAGGGCGGTAGTAAATTGACCACAGCTATGCTTAATATTATAAACCATATCATTTATAATTTAGTACTAAACTTTGAACTATTTTTCCATTTTTCACGTTTTGAGTACGCCTTTAGTTGATCAGTACGATTAGTAAGTTTTTCGTATAGAAATGCTGACGGGTGTAAGCAGGAAAAATTAGTATACGACTGATTTAAACAGTTGGTCAACAGAGTTCAGTTCACCGAGGTACTAATATTAAGGAAATTAGCAAAGTTTTATTGTTAATAAAATTGATTTGAAACAAAAATGTTTGCCAAAATTCACGTTACATTTCTGCTGACGTCAGCAAGGCTCAGATCCCCCTCCCGTCAGCAACCGTCAGCATTTCCAAACCCCCCTAGTCTACGTATAGTGTATACTCGCATAAAACTCACACAGTAAATTAATCACAATTCACAATGTAGCCTTCATTTCTTATCACTAACATCTTCTGACGTTTTAAGGACATTCCTTTGTTTTTTGTTACTTTCACAGCTACACCTTTCCCATAATATTAATCCGGCGACTGTTATAAGAGCGAACTCTAAAGATGAAGTTGTCCTGTCAAGTGATGATCCTGGCTGTTTTGATAATATCTACTACTGCAGATGACAAATCCTACAAGGTACTTAAGTTTGGGAGTACTGTGGGAGATTTTATCAAGTTTAAACCCAACATGCAACCCTTCTCCGAAGCGTTTTCCCTGTGTTCTTGGATAAGGAAATTAAGAGTTGGACCCGGCCCGACCTGGTTCTCGTACGCGATTAGCAATTCAAATCACAACGAGATTTTAATTATGGATGACGGAACCACAAATACTATATTCCGTAGTTATAACAAAAATGTAAAAAGTCAAGCTGGTGTTGCAGTAGGAGAGTGGTATCACTATTGTTTATGTTGGAGTCTTGCTTCTCTGACAGCCACAATTCACCACAACGGCAGACAAACTGGTTCCTTCTCAACTCCTTCAGGAAGGAGACTGACTGCAGATGGATATCTTGTTTTGGGGCAAGATCAGGATTCCTACGGTGGATCATTTCAATCCCATCAAGCTTTCGGTGGTGAACTTCACAAGTTAGACATCTTTTCCAAGAGGCTGAGTTCATCTGAAGTGAGCGAACTGTACTCTGCAGGACGTTGCTCTGATATTGAGAAGAAACACGGTGAAACTCGTATGCTAAAGTGGGAACAAATTCTACAGCAATCAATAACTGGTGATGTGAGTGAAATTGTCGAAATATGTAACGGAGACAAAGCAGGAAAAAACGGAGACAAAGCTGAACCAAACGGAGACGAGGCTGAACCAAACGGAGACAAAGCTGAACCAAACGGAAACCAAGCTGGGAGAAGCTGTAGTTAACCTTGAAACAACTATCAGCCAGTTGAACCAGACAGAGAAGGACTTAGAAGAAACACAAAACAACTTAAACGAAACTCTGGCTGATGTGGAGGAACTAGAGGAAGAGCTAGAAGAGATGAAGACGAGTTTCTCTGGGTACGATTGTTTTAGATTGACGAATTCTTCGCATTGGGATGTGCTATACACATCGTCTTTTTTTGAAAAAGTCTTGACGGTAGACATGCTTCAAATCCTCTACAAAAGTTGGGAAAAACTGGGTAACTTAGCAGATTTTTGCTGTTTGACTCTCTTTTTCAAAAAAGAAATATTTTACCTAATTTGAATACGAGACGTTTTGGTAATAGAATTACTGATGATTGGCATTTGGCAAGCTGTAAGGATAGGATTTGGAAAAACAACAAAATCTGCTTAGATTTCACATCTCACGTTATCTATCACATGGCACTATATTTTTCACTGTTAATTTTCACATTTAATATTTTCAGGACATTTTAAAGGGATGCCAGTGACACAGAATCTAATAGAGTTCTTCAAGACATATTTCCATGACGGTCTGGACGGATGCCATGTTTAGATCAGGAAACGGTCGACCAATAAACTATTTTGTTATCTAATTCAGACTTCAGAGGCAACATGTAAGTGTGGCGGGTGTGGCACCACACTACTGGCTGATTTCCGCACATATTCGCAATTTTGGCCATTTCCGCACAATTTAGCACTATTCGGGACATTTCGGCACTATTGTTGTGATTTTTATGAAGGAAAACTCATTGATAAGAATCAGTTAGAGTGCATATTATCGTAACCGATTAAATTATGATTTTTAAATTTATTTTTGAAAAGCAGATTCGCGACAATTTAATGTTCTGGGATTTGAAAACTGTATTAGATTTCTGAAGTTTGACTATACCTGCTCAATTATTAATCTTACAGACATTGTGTTTACAGTATAAATAAAAATAAAGATAGTTACTAGTCTTTACCTTGAAGACGAATCTGCCCCCCCCTCTTCCTACACCCCTATATACAATATTAAGTAAGAATATCAATGGAATATCCATGGACATTTAATTTGCTTTTTAAAATTTACCAATTTTTTATAGTATGTCCCACCCCAATGATTTTTGTGATAAATAACATCTTACATCTATAGAGGGTTGAAATTAAGCGCGCGATTTGATAACGTATACGGTGTAAGTTATCCCATATAAAGATATAATGTAATTTCGTTCCATGAAATACTGGAGCACACTAAACTGAGGGAAACCCCTCACTGTCCTGATGTTGCACTAAAATATGGATTTTCCGTACTGCAATCTGTATTTAAAACTGGTGAAGATTCAACATGATCTTTTATATTATGAGCATTCTAACGGTAACATAAAATCATAATATTGTCCTAATATATATTATATTCCAGCAACTTGAATGGTTATTCAGATGCGAATATGATAAGAAGTGCCAGGCCTCCCAACTTAATGAAAAAAGCCACCTACAGATCAAGAATCCGTCCTAGCATGTAATATGATTCTGACTTTCGAGTTTCGAGTTTCGGGAGCCACGTATACTCGCATAATACTCACACAGTAAGTTAAATTAATGACAATTCACAACGTAGCCTTCATTTCTTATCACTAACATCATCTCTGCCGTTTTCTGACAAAAGTGCTCAAGTAACATTTTGGAAATTTCGGGTTTTTTGGTCTAACTTTTGTTTTTGGGTCAAGAACTGTCCCTGAGGACCATTGGATACATTCGCCGACCCCCGAAACCCCCTTTTTGGAACCCCTTAAAATGCAAAGAATGGTCATTTTTCTGAGAAAAGTGCAAAAGTAACATTTTGGAAAACGGGAGCCGTTTATTTCAAAAATGGTGCCATTTCGGGAACTGAAAATGGTGGCATTGTTTTCTACGTCCAAAACTGGCCTAGTGACGGCAATTTGGTGATCGTGGGTCTTTTGGCCTGGAAAAAACAATTTATTGCACTTAAGCACTTTTGTGAAAACGAGCTCGTTTTCTCACAAATTAAGTGCTTAAGTGCCATTATACTTTTAATTAAATGTTGATTCTGTCAACTGACGCTATATAATCGGTACTTACACATCTACATTTTCATGACGGATCGATTGGTGATGGTCATAAACTTCAGAAACGCTAGCTTCGCAGTCAAAATTGCCGATTTGTCAATGCAGAACTTTTCAAAATATACTTCAAAATTTGCTTTAAAATTTTTATTCTCTAATCAGTTGAGACTGCAGAGTTTTAGCTTGCCTGACCTAAAATGAAGCAAATTTTCGATTGGTGTTCGTCTCCGAATCAGAAATTATGGATTTTTTCGTCAAGTTTTAAATATAAATAGATATATTCTCGATAGTATTCCCTGAATAAATAGTATCTGGAGAGAATATTTGTAGGATACAATACTTGAGTAGGAACAGTGTGCCTCGTGACGTGTAAACTGGTAAAGCTGTAGGTACTTCGCACGACAATGGCTGGATCAGGATAACGCAACATTGTTCACAAACGTTTCGTGTACCTTCTTAGCTCATCAATTACAGTGAATGGGATATTGACTTTGAGTAGGGAATGTTAGGACATGATTGGATCTTGTGATGTAAAGTAAGAATAGCTTATCGCATGTAATACTCAACAAGCTAGTAGTAGTATATTTTTACTACAAGCTTACAGGAAAAATGTTTCATCCTTGTATTTTGTGCTCGATAGACTCGGCCTGGGTCAGCTGCCTTATAGAGCGAAACATATCTATTCATTTCTATAGCTCATCTTATATACCTCATATTCACGCTGTTATCAAACTACCTTTTTTAGTATTGATTCGTGATCAAAGGGAAAGTTTTAATATTCCGTATTATTACAACCTGTTCCTGACCATACATTTTTCTTGTACGATTTTAAAGTTTTTTTCGAGTATGAATGTTGTGCCTTATAACATGGTAAACACTAAGTTATCTGCTTACCTAGCTCATAGGCTTCCTCAAACCTGTACATCCGCTAGCTGAACGCTTTATTCAAGGAAATTTAAAATCAGTTATGTTATAGTTTCTTGTTATCATCTATCTATCTACGATCTAGCTCCGTAATATAAATTGTATGGATTTTTATTTGCCGATAACGATAAATGTTTTATTTAAGTATTCCCTTTAATACTTTTACTGCATCAAAAAACATCAATCACAACCAAAGTTATGGATAGTCATAGCGTAAATTGTAATGTGAGCTAGTTTAGTAGTTATGACGTATCATAGAGCATGACAGCGCGCGTTGCTAATCTGTTCTTGCTCGTGCACGTGAAATCTCTTGATCATTGATGTTGCTTAGCAACGACGCTGTTTACCTTTGTTAAAATAACGCCATTATTCTAACGTTTATTTTACCTCACTTCCGACGTTAATTATAGAAAATCTAAAGCCTTAATCAAAATTATAAGAATGCTTTAGCCTATTCCTATCCTTTATTTACAACCCTGCTAAAAATGGCGAGGTTTCAACTCCATTTGCGAGCTGAAATTGGTCACGCCAGAGGGTCATTTTAAAGTCAATTTTCAGTTTTTTTTCTTTATGTCCCCGTTGCCGAAGGGAATTCGTCAATTTTAAAATATAATATAGATAATTCGCAAAACCTTGGCCTTTATGAAGAAAGCCTTATCTGAGTTCTTAATTTAATTTCTAAAGAAAGAAACTTATTTATTATTATCCCGTACTATCACCAATCGACTCTTCGTCAAAACAAGCGTCGAAATGCTGGTAGAATTCTGATTCGAAAACAAAATTTTATAAGGAATTGCAACGTTTCATTCCCGCTCGTTGCCACTATTTTTTAATCCGCTGGGTGGGGAGATTTTTAGATCAGAATGATTGCAGATAAAGTTCCCACTAATGTTGGTGCACTTAAGCACTTTACTCAGAAAACGAAATTTCTATTTCAGCGTGTCCCAATATTACAACAAGTGTTTCATCACAACAGTTTAAGGCTCATTTTTCGTCTTATTTTCGATGACCAATGGTTTGAACGGGTCATTTTCATCAGAACATGGAGTTTTTGCCGATGTGGCTGTACTTAAGCACTTTTCTAAGAAATTCAAACTATAATTTGTGATTTTGAGGCACTTTCCGAGAAGTTAGGATGATGAAACCTTGTCATAAGTCTCAAAAGTCGACAAAGCACCTTAGAAACATAGTGGGTGCAGTTTTAATTTGACAGCAGCTAGCCCAGAGCAATTACAGAATTGAAATCTTTAAAGTCAATTTGCACAAAATGCGCCTTGTGTTACTTAAGCACTTTTGTCAGAAAACGGCAGATCTGACGTTTTAAGAACATCCCTTTGTTATTTTTTACTTTCACATCTACACCTTTCCCATAATCCGGCGACTGTTATTAGAGCGAACTCTAAAGATGAAGTTGTCCTGTCAAGTGATGATCCTGACTGTCCTGATAATATCTACTACTGCAGATGACAAATCCTACAAGGTACTTAAGTTTGGGAGTACTGTGGGAGATTTTATCAAGTTTAAACCCAACATGCAACCCTTCTCCGAAGCGTTTTCCCTGTGTTCTTGGATAAGGAAATTAAGAGTTGGATCCACCAAGAACTGGTTCTCGTACGCGACAAGCGATTCAAATGACAACGAGATTGTCATTGTGGATGACGGAACCACAAATACTATATTCCGTAGTTATAACAAAAATGTAAAAAGTCAAGCTGGTGTTGTGGTAGGAGAGTGGTATCATTATTGCTTATGTTGGAGTTTTGCTTCCCTGACAGCCACAATTCACCACAACGGCAGACAAACTGGTTCCTTCTCAACTCCTTCAGGAAGGAGACTGACTGCAGATGGATATCTTGTTTTGGGGCAAGATCAGGATTCCTACGGTGGATCATTTCAATCCCATCAAGCTTTCGGTGGTGAACTTTACAAGTTAAACATCTTTTCCACGAGGCTGAGATCATCTGAAGTGAGCGAACTGTATTCTGCAGGACGTTGTTCTGATATTGAGAAGAAACACGGTGAAACTCGTAAGCTAAAGTGGGAACAAATTCTGCAGCAATCAAGAACTGGTGATGTGGGTGAAATTATCGAAACATGTGCACTTGAAAAGAAGCTCCAGTTTGTAGAAGGGGAACTGTCGAAGAAGTCATCTGAGCTTGAAGAGGTTGGAGCTAAATTTGAGCAAACTACAGATCAGCTTTCTAACACAGTTACACAGCTGAACCAGACAGAGACACAGTTGGACAAAACGGAGACAAAGCTGAACCAAAAAGAAGTGCAACTAAAGGTAATGAGGAAACAATTGTATGCAGTCACTAGTAAACTTATCTTAGTGCCGGTACTAGCTTGTACCACAGGGCTCCTAATGCTAGTCTCTATTGCTATGAGCTTGCTGTTCTGCTGTGAGAGAAGGAAGGGAAAGAAAGAAGATAAGGGACTTGGGAAGGTTGCCTATAATGCTTCAAGTGGAGTGCACCTGGGTGGAGAAGAGGGAAGTTCTCCTAGTGTAGATGACACATCTGACAACATTTACGAGAACTATGAAACTTAACGGTAAATATATTTTGATAATTTAGCAATACTTCAAGCACATTTCATATGCCACGCAGCCACGCTATCTGTATCAATATCTTTTTTAAATTGGTCTTTGACACTCCATTAACGGAGACAAAGTTGAACCAAACACAGACAAAGCTCAACTAAACGGAGACAAATTTGAACCAGATGGAGACACAGCTGGACCAAATAGAGACACAGCTGAACCAGACAAAGACACAGCTGGAATAAACGGAGACAAAGCAGAAAAACGGAGACAAAGCTGAACCAAACGGAGACGAAGCTGGGAGAGGCTGTAGTTAACCTTGAAACAACTATCAGCCAGTTGAACCAGACAGAGAAGGACTTAGAGGAAATACAAAACAACTTGAACGAAACTCTGGCTGATGTGGAGGAACTAGAGGAGGAGCTAGAAAAGATAAAGAAGAGTATCTCTGGGTACGACTGTTTTAGATTGACGAATTCTTCGCATTGGGATGTGCTATACACATCGTCTTTTTTTTGAAAAAGTCTTGACGGAAGACATGCTTCAAATCCTCTACAAAAGTTGGGAAAAACTGAGTAACTTAACAGTTTTTTGCTGTTTGAAGAAATATTTTACCTAATTTGAATAAGAGACGTTTTGGTAATAGAATAACCGATGATTGGCATTTGGCAGGCTGTAAGGATAGGATTTGGAAAAACAAAAAATAAGCTTAGATTTCACATCTCACGTTATCTATCACATGGAACTATATTTTTCACTGTTAATTTTCACACTTAATATTTTCAGGACATTTTAAAGGGATGCCAGTGACACAGAATCTAATAGAGTTCTTCAAGACATATTTCCATGACGGTCTGGACGGATGCCATGTTTAGATTAGGAAACGGTCGACCAGTAAACTATTTTGTCATCAAATTCAGACTTCAGAGGCAACATGTAAGTGTGGCGGGTGTGGCACCACACTATTGGCTCATTTCCGCACATATTCGTAATTTTGGCCATTTCCGCACAATTTAGCACTAGTTAGGACATTTCGGCACTATTGTTGTGATTTCTATGAAGATGATAAGAATCAGTTAGAGTGCATATCATCGTAACCGATTAAATTATTATTTGAAAAGCAGATTCGCGACAATTTAATGTTCTAGGATTTGATAAACTATATTAAATTTCTGAAGTTTGAATATAGCTGCTCTATTATTAATCTTACGGACATTGTGTTAACAGTATAATTAAGAATAAAACTGGTTTTCTTCTCTTATAGAAAAAGGGCTCTACTAGCTGTAGCTAGCGAGCCCTTTTTCTGAGGGCTCGACTGAGTACCGAGTTATCAAAATTGATATGGGACCTCAAGGAGAAGATGATTGAATATAGCATAGACTGGAAGATTATTACTAAATCGAAGAAATATAAGGCTGGAGCGGGGCATTGTGGCCTCTGCTTAGACGAGAAACTATACATACTTAAAACCCCAGGCATTATTAATAAAAGATCAGAAATTATTTCTAAATGTAGGCACTCTAGGAAATTCTTAGTTAGACATATTTAGTTAGTATTTATTAGTTATTAGGATTTGTAGTTATTTATATAGGTTTAGTAGTATTGAGTAATTGTTAATTGTTAATTATAAAATTTGATAAAGGAACACTGTGTTGTATTATGTTTGCCATTTTTATGTTAATTATGTCACTGAAGATTGCTTTTCAAACATGAAACTTATAGTTTGACAATTGCATAGTTTGCTTTGTACCGATAATTAAGAATAAAGATAGTTACTAGTTTTTACCTTGAAGACGAATTTGTTCCTAAGTTGCTGTGCTTTCTCGCTGTCAGAAATAAGAAAGTTGATGACCCCCTTCATGATCCAACTAGAGTTAGACTCGCCAGGATGCACCCGGGCTGATAAAACCACGTATTCTCTATCGTCTGAAGATTATAGATGTTACTTGACAGGCTAGGAGATTAGTTTAAAATTCCACTAGCTAATCTTACAGAAATATCACTTTTCCGAGCGACATGGACATTCAATTCCAAAAAACAGTGAGTAAATAAATAAATACTCGTCCATTTCAAGAGATAAAACTGCAACGTTATCTTAACATACTGATGCTGTTAGCTGAGGATTTGTTGTGAGAAGGAGAGAACTGGGTGATGGTGAGGAGGTCTACAGGGTTACCCCCTATTGAGGTACACAGAGTCTGTCTTCTTAACACCGAGCTTATACCGTGCAGGTGCTGTACTTCTAGTAGATGTGCCTAGGAGAGGGGAGTGTCAGACAGAGACAGAGACAGAGACAGAGACAGAGACAGAGACAGAGACAGAGACAGAGACAGACAGAGACAGAGACACACGGACACACGGACACACGGACACACGGACACACGGACACTAACCTGTAGAGAAGAGTAAGAGTAAGGATAATGGTAGGCTATGTAGCAGGTATCATGTGAGTGGGGGAAGCAGATAGTGAAGGTAAGAGTGTGCATGTTCTGTGCCGCACTTGCTCTACCCGTGTCCTCTGTTGCTTTCCTCACGAAGTTGTTCTTGTAGTAGCAGATACGTTTACCACATCGCTGCCATCCTGTACCGTTTGTTAACGCATCGTGGGCCGAGTATAACAGCGGCTGCATTCCTGTGTGGGGACCAGTATTTACTCAAGCCGCTTCAAGGGCTGCTGATCGATCATGCCCATAAATGGTTTCAAATGCATTTATTAAAGTTTCATAAGGCTTGGTAGTTTTTTTTTCGTTGTCGAAATTAAGAAATTGATATTGCTGAGATAATAGTAATAAACCGAAAAACACAAACCTTGGGTAAATGAAGAGCAGCTCTTCTCACAATTAATGATATTGAACCTATAGGGGAAATCAGCGACCATGTTATGGACTTCAAAGTAGAACCACTGGTGGTGCCGGGTGGAGCCGATGTCTGAATTTAACACTAGATCATATTCGAATATCCGCACCTGGGGATTGTAACTTTGTTATTTTGGGTTATTAACAGAATTCGCTCAGTTAGCAGTGTTTTCAACAGCTGCAGTCTATGAAATCTATGAGGCACACACTAACTGAAACCCAGAATGTGCAGTCATTCTAAAGAATAAAGACAATTAACAAAAGTTATTCTTACTTGAATAGCTTTACGGAGATTCCCGCACTCGTGCCGCGATTCGAATTGTAGAATAGGGATATTAACCGTTCCTGTTGAGTTCTCTTCGTTCATGTGCTGACTCAGTACCTGTGCGGACAATTAGTAGAGTTAATGAATAGTTTACGAATTTTAAAAGTATTTTAAAAATAAATAAGTTTATCTAAAAGTAATATAAGGGCTGTGTAAAGATTCTGATGCAAAATTTGTAGTGTTCGACTAATAAATGATGTTCTGATCCGGATATTACATAATTGTGTAAAAGACAAAAATAGTAAAACATGCTCACATCAAGAGGAGGATCTGCGTTAAGTCTGGTCTGAGGAATAGAGGGGAGTATCTTACATCTTCTGAGGGCAGGGTCCCACTTAATGTTGCTGAGGGCGTGGTTACTTGGCTCCTCTGTCTTTACTAACTCGTCCTGTACAAAGGGGTATTGTTGGCAACAAATTAAGATCAGTCACAAACCTGATCAGTCAGCGCAGAGTAATAACAACAAGGTCGTGTATACGGTACACTGCGGATTTTTGTATGCTGGTCATTCTCAATAGTGTGTGAACCAGGGATTCACAGTTTTAGCATCTAATAATTGGGAGGAAAAACAGATATATTGTTAATCAAGATCACAATAATAATTTAAACCTGGTCGTAAGCGATCCTGTTGATCAGTGTCTCCGGGTGAACAGCCCGAGCAATATCCAGTAACATAAGAGTTCTCTGTACTGATTGTATCGGGTCGTATAGTTGCTCCAAGTAGTGGGGAGGTCGGTGTGAGTACATGTCTGGGGCTGCAACCTGAGCAATTGGTTCGTTAATAAATAATACAGACTCGCTTGTCTGTGTGAAGGGAGTTTATGTGAAGGGAGTTATGGAGAGCGATAGGGATAGAAAAAGTAAACTTTTTAGCACCCCCACTAATTATTTCTTTTAAATGAAACATAAATATTGTTGGTAAATAGATAGAATACAGAATACCATACATTTTCAATACAAAAAAATATTTTAAAATTTGGATCCAGAGATGTGACGAAGTGAAGATGTCAGAATAAAAAGCAGGAAAGTGAGTTTTAATGTAATGGTTGCAAATGATGAGGGGCTCAATAGAAGTTCCTCATGAAGGTTGGTTCCATGATAGTACTGTGTCGTCTCTTCAGTTCAGGTTTCACCAGTGAGCACATTAAACAATGTTGGTCAGGACAGGGTTCTTCGCAGACAGGTGAGAGTGGTACAGCTACTGATCTCCTCTTACTCTTGGACCGGACAAGGGACAGACTAGATCGTTGAATTGGGGTCTCCGAGCTGATGTCAGGTGTAGAGAAAGGAGTGCTTACTGTTCGTCGGACAATCTTCAAATTGGACTTGAAGCTGTGGGAGGATACTAATTTCTGTTTCTTTGGAGCCGGAACAGGCAGGAGATCTGTAAGAAGTTTCATGCTGACGTCGTTGAGGCAGGAGGGAGCGGACATAGTTCTCTTAGTGAAACTGCGGCGAGGGAGAGATCTTCTGGAGGTGACTCTGTCTCTGAGTTTCTTGAGGGATGAGGGCATCTTCATTGTGAGAGTAGTTAGTTGGTAGATGAGTAGTAGTTGTTGAGAGTAAGAAGAACTGATAATGACTTGTTTACTTCATGTTTCTATTTATACCAGCATCAGTCTGTTAACTGACTCATGTTAATTATTATTAGTATGGATGTAATCAGTCTCAGATAACACAGCGTCACATCATCAGATCATATCTCGTCAGTTTGTTTTTGGTAGATCAAGTGATCTAGCCGTTATTTGATCTGGTGATAACGTGCTGACAGCTGAAACGTACCGAGATCACATTTCCCTGGCTTTAGGGATCTTGTCGTAATAAGAACACGATTTAAACACGGCAATATTTGGGGTTCATATTATTACTATCAAAATATTACCAAATCATTAATGACCATAGACTGCCTGTTGCGATCCAGCGACTCTTCATTGAACAGTCCTTAAAGGCTCTAATGGCTGTAATGTTTAGCTGCGGCCCCTATTTTAACAAGGATTACCAGATAGTTTGTTATTTGGGGTAACAGCAGATTAGCTTGCGGTTACCACTTCGGAGATTGCCCGTTCTTAGGAGTGACCAAGCCTAAATCCCAAAACAACAACTGAACCCAGGTAATACGACAACTGCACCTGAATACGACAACTGAACCGACAATTTTGTAGATCAGATTTTCAGGTTAAGTTAAGTTAAGAGGGCCTGCCTTGGCTCAGATCTCGTGCCTTTTGATGCTTGGGGAGCATTAAATCCAGTGGCGCAACGAAGGGCCCCGCTGACCCCGCTGTGCGGGGGGGGGGGGGGGGGGGGGCGCAAAATCGTCGTTTGAATGTGGGACAATTTTGAAAAACTTAACTGAGGTACTAGCAAAACGGCGCGTTTTGATCTAGAAACATACTTTTTTAGAGATTTTACCGGCGTATCCTCTAAAATCACCTAATTTGTTCAATTTTAGGGAGAGACGCCAAAAAGGGAGGGGGCGCCAACAGGGAGGCGCCAACAGGCAACGTTACGCCACTGATTAAAACGCATCCTTTCTGACACGCTTCGTGAACACACGTATCTCAAAATCTTTGGATAGAACCCTAACTGTATATTTTCCCTGAAATTATTGCAGTAGAAACCAGACAGCAGCTAAACTAGTAGAGCTGTGTTTGGAAACCTGTTCAAGTGATCTCTATATTTCTAGTAACGATTGGGCGCAGTTGTTGTTTCAAAGTTAACTACGAGGCAGACTGATTGGGTTTATAATTATTTTCCCAAGCTACCCTGTCTAGGAAAAGTCCATATTGGGTTGAGTTGTCTGGTATAATCAATAACTCCTTCCTGCGCAAAGAAGTACTGGACAGATCGCCGAAAAAGGAACATGGGTCTGGTAGTTTTTACCTGTTGAATATTCTTAGTAATTTGTAATTTGATTTAAGTTAATGTCATAATAATCCATTATACACTTGATGTAGTGACATTGGAACGTTGAATAAATTTCATTTACCCGAAAAGAGCATTTTCCCGTCGCATACACGGAATCATCAGAAACATTAAATTATGTTGCCTATTAGACGTGGGTATCCAGAATGTAAACTTGTATTTGTGCATTGAAAATAGATAGATACAGCTTATATCACATATTTGATATTATAAATAAAATAATTAGTGGAAGGTTTCAACGAGAGGTCTCCAAATCTGGTCTCAATAGAAGTTCCTCATGAAGGTTGGTTCCATAATAGAACTGTGTCGTCTCTTCAGCTCAGGTTTCACAAGTGAGCACATTAAACAATATTGGTCAGGACAGGGTTCTTCGCAGACAGGTGACAGGGGCCCGGCTACTGCTACTGATCTCCTCCTCCTACTTTTGGATCGAACCAAAGAAAGACTGGAGCGTTGTATGGGTGTTTCTGAAGTGTGTTCCCGAGTTAGGAGAGGGGTGCCGGTTGAGGGAGGAGCTAGGGTGGTACCAAGACGTTTCAAAGACTTCAAACTAGACTTGAAGCTGTGAGAGGAGAGTTTATGTTTCTTGAGCTCAGGCTGTGGTTCGGAGAGCATCTTGAGGTTAACATCATAGAGACAGGAGGGAGCAGAGACGCATCTCTTGGTGAAAGGACGGTGAGGGAGGGATCTCCTGGAGGTGACTCTGTCTCTGAGCTTTTGGAGAGTTGAGGGCATCTTCATTGTTAGTTGGTAGATGAGTGGAAGTAATAGTTGGGAATGGTAAGAGAATGATTGTTGTGTAATTCGTACGTCTATATATACTACTACTAGTACCCCACTGTTGAATGTTAATTGATCCATGTGGCTGTTAATTGATCCTTGTGACTGTGTATTTGCCTGCATGTGATCGGTCTCAAATAGCATCAAGTCATGTCTCGTCTGTTCGTTTTGAGTGGATCATGCGACTATAGTAAGTTATTTGAGCAGTCAAACGCTTTACAGGGATCACATAACCTCGGTGTCATGGTTCTCATAACAACCAGTGACATTACCCCAGAGATCAGGTAACAAGATGGTTCACAGTCGGATCACGTGACACCTCGCAGATTGACTTCCTTCTTGTGCCAGACACGTCGTAATTAGAAATTCATAGAAAAATACATTAAATTAAGACGTGAGAAATAATTGTAGATGAATGGCTAGTCAACAACCAATTGCCTCCAAGCCAAAAACCGTGAGAAACAATTAAAGGATGGCTAGTCACAATCCAGTTACTACATACTTTAGAAACATACGTGAGAAATAACAAACAAATGGTCAGTTAACAACCAATTACCTTGGCGAAGTGTTTGACTGCTTTAGCAGGGGGAGGCGAGTAGGAGGCAGTTAGAACGGGGGAATCTCCTAGCGACATGTTGCTCAGAGAGTTGGTTACAGACTTCACGTTCCTACATGATCTCTTAGAGGTCACTGATCTTCTGGAGGAATGAGTTAGTTATTGAATGATAAGTTAGTTATTAAATAATGAGTTAGTTATTGAATGATAAGTTGGTTATTAAATGATGAGTTAGTTAATTAATGAGCTGGTCGTCAGATAATTGATCGATTAACTATTATGTATTATTATGGGTGATAAAAACCAGCTAGAAATGTTTACAGATCTACAACTTTGATGTAGTACGATAGAGAAAATATAACTTGACGAAAGAGTCGTGATCTTTGCAGGGAGAGTACTCACGGAGGAAGGTTGGGGTCACAGCTGTTAGATATCTTTCTAAGAGGGTCGGATCCGGAGCTCTTAGGACTGCTCTGAGATCTGATCGACTGCGAGGAACCGTTTTGGAGGACAGGTTTCACTATCACACTTATCGGACCTGGTCAATGTTGTTATGTTAACAGTCAGTGTGAATCACTTTTATCGAGGGTACAATCTTCTGCAGCAAAGTTATGGTTCATCAACCCAACAAATCCTATCCTGTCAATAAATAAGTTTATCATAGAACTGCTAACTATCTAATCATACTAAACATTAATAACCTGTATCCGAGCGCTCGTCTGACAGTTCGTTCTGACTGTTACTTGGGGTCTGTGGTACCAGAGTGATGAACTCCTTACGGTACTCTGACAGCTGATCCAATATTACCTTGTTGTTCTGAAGCAGTAAAGTTCAGTAACTATTTGTAACTAATTGTGCACAGACCACAAAGGTGTATATTTAGCTGAGTTATGTAGCATGTAGTGTGGTGAATTGTTTGGAAGATGGGTCAGTGGCTTGGAAGATGGGTCAGTGGTTTGGAAGATGGGTCAGTGGCTTGGAAGATGGGTCAGTGGCTTGGTAGATGGGTCAGTGGCTTAGTAGATGGGTCAGTGGTTTTATACATCAGCCATCTCGACTGTAACTAGAGCTGACAATTGTCAGACGCAATCCTCAAACCGCCATTCAAAGTTGGTTTGATCGATTTGGTTTGAGTTTTATAAATGCATTGTTTTTGAGACCGTAAAACCAGATTCACGCACATGTTCTGAGTCTGATGAAAGAATGTAGTTTTGTTCTGAGATTTAAAGAGGCAGTTTCTTAAAGTCAAACAACGTTTTTAAAATTAAAAGTACTAACCAAAGAATTGAGGAGATGTACCTGATAATCGGTGAGCTCGGGGAAAAACTTTAAGAAGTCCTCTACATTGGTGAGGGTGAGAGGGACTTCTTCTGCAGGGGCTTCGTCCTCGTCTTCATACCCGTCTTCTTTGTACTCCTGGTGAGGGGAGGGTGTAAAGATAACGGAGACAGATGCCAAAACTTCAATAAATTTTTAACCGGCCTAACTTTTTAAGAAACTACATGAAGTGTACCTGAAGGAGATACGGATCTGTTGGGTCGAGTGATGATTCGTCAAAGTAAACGGGGCCGTGTAGCGAGGGGATTGGTAGACACACTTTCGGCATAGATTTCCGGATGATCTGGCTGCATGTCAGCGCTAGGTTGTCAATCGCTTTACCTAAGAGTAAAATGTCTGTGCTGGATTAATATTCTCTTAAATGTTAAGTTAAAATAGAGAAGATGGTGAGAATTAGAGTAGTGATGTGGATAGTTTAATGATATGATTTTGTTTCTTAAATGTGATATCCGTGTCAAGACCATGCATGTTATGTCTTGTGGAACAAGCAAACAAATTTTTATTCGTGATCATAGCTCCCTGCGCTATTAGCAATTTCCTAAATGTTTTGAAAGCTGACTAATTCAGAAACAAAAGTCCTGACGATCACTTAATAAAGGTAATTGTTTGATTAATTTCCGATCACCATGATCATGAGCAACCTGCAACAGTGAACAGTAAAAAGTTGGTTCAATCACCTGCATCATTAGCAACGAGTAAAACAGTGGGGTCAATAACATCAGGAAGTTTAATAACAGGTTTTGGTTCCGGCTGGATCCTGTTAACCCGCCTTTTCCTCCGCCTCTTAGACTTGGCACATTTCTTGTGGAGCATGGGTCCAGGACCCTTCTCAGGGAACACACACGTGACTGATCAGGCCTCCCCGTGGAGGTTCCCCGAGGAGCGGAACTACAAATATCCGACGGGGGAGGTGACGAGGGACGCTACAAATATGGGGCTGGTATAACTATAAGCGCTAGATTGGAGCGGAGATGTAGAACGGAGCAGACAGCGGCAAGAATATAGTGATAATCTGAGTACATGGATAATGAAGACTTGCTGGAGGTTTGCATGCCACGTCGTAGAATGGCGGGCCGGACAGCTGCACGACGACCTGCCACCTGCACCACGACCAGGCCACACACTCAAATACTCGCAGTCCTCCCAGCTGCCAGCTGGTATGGGAAGAAGAACGGAGTACTGCTTAGTGGAGGTCACGAGGGGCTACAGTTCCGGGGATACAGTCCTCGTACACAGTAACCTCCCCCGGCCTCCACACTGAGCAGTGTGACCTTTACAATCCGCTAAACGCTCCGGCCGCTCATTGGACAGGTCTGGTCATGAGAGTGGAGGGAGGGCTGTGATTGGTCGGTTGCAGATATATTCCTTGGGGAGTTCTGCTGTATATGTACGTGGTACGTAATTTTGTATTAACCTTACTTTGCTGCCCGTTTAACAAGATGAGTGTGGTCTTACCGTGCTTGTGGCAAATTAGTGCATACCAAAATCACAGAGACGGTAGATTTGATATTACACTATCAGCTACAAGGGGAGGAGAGGAGAGGAGGAGGAGATTAGAGAAGGAGGAAAGAGTTAAACACTACAAGTCGGTTACAAGGGTAAAGAATACCTATTATTTATCAGGTTAAAGGACAGAAGTGTTAAATATCATATGGATTATGGGTAGTAGGGGCGGGCAGAGGGGGATCTTAAACTATGAAGAAGATAGTTTTTATATTTCTAGGGAAACATATGTTTCTCATTCGAAAGGTTACTCAAACCACGTCTGCGAAAAAGCTGGTCTCTTATTTTCAAGCTTTTAGCTTAAATTCAATTGTAATTTCGAGCTTTAAGCGGCTGCCATTAACTGTTATGGTCAGGGTTATCGTTTAGTTTGCTCATAAGTTATAGCTGTATAATTTCTCATATCGTGTGATAATTGTTGTAAATCCTAATCTAAATATGGTCCGAAGCTTTTCTGATTTTAGTTCATAAGGCAAATAGAACCCCGGGCGAGAAACTTCAAAAATCAGCAAAAAAAGACACTGACTGACTGACAGATCGGCTCAATAACTTCCCGTTAACACATTCTAGAACCTACTTAGCCGTAAGTCATAACAAATGATCTTACCACTATAATACTCAACATACAAGTCCGGAACGCCAACAATATAAGTAACCACTAACGTTTAGTCTTTAAAATTTTTTCCTTATTAAACAGCGCCATTTGCGCTTCTGAAAGTTAGTCCGGAGTACGTGGAGAGCGCATGTTTTAAAACAGGCTGTGCTTAACGTAAAAAGTTTTCCGATAAGAAAAGTAGCAGACTTATTGTGATTTTTCTGTTGAAACCGGTGCCGTAATGATTAGCTCTGTGTTAACAAACAGAGAGATTATAGCGCACCTAAGTAGCTGATAGTGACAGAAGAGGAGGGAGGAGGAAAGTAACAGACTTGTTGTGATTACGGTTTTGAAACCGGTGCCGTGATATTATCACTGATAATCACAATGCTGGCAAGCATTACCGTCGCCCTTATATTCACAATACTATTTACCCCCTATACTATTATATCCCCTTTATTGTTTTCCAGGCATTAAGACTCATCGAAAGTAGTTCAGCAGGTATATTTAAGTTCAAAACATTCTAATTCAATGTTAAAGATGACAGGAACAAGAAATAGTTATGTGGAGGTTTTTAAGAAATTAGCGCAAAATACGCGCCAGCATGTTATACGAAATTAGGTAAAAAACCCAAAATCGCCATATTTAGGTGCCTTAAAAACCATGATAAAATTGAGTTAGAGATCTGAAACTTTGCAGGGCGTCTAGACCTTGTCCAAATCGACTGTAAACAAAATTTCGTGTTTCAGGAGTATCGGGAAGTGGGTTTTCTGGAACCCCTGTTTTACAACAGATTGTCGTGAAGTATATATATGTATATATGTATATATATATAGACGCTTTGGCATTCAATTGTAGCCTACATTTAAGTGCCCGTATTTTCAAAAGTATAAACAATACAGTCATCTTGAACCACAGGTTTTAAAGATAATCGTTTAAGCTTTAGTTTACATTGTATCAAAAAATAATTTAACGTCATCATCATCACTTGATGACGTCATCAAATTAAGTGTTTTTAAAACTTTATTTTTGACAAAGTAAGAAATTTTCAAATCAATTTTACACCATTAAGGAGTAATTTTATTCAAAGTCTGAGGACATTTTCACCTTAGATAATTGTTCAAGCATTCCGAAAATCTACCGGAAAAGTTTCTTACCTTGCTCCTTCATAAAGATATTTGCTATTGAAGTTAGTGCTTTTTTGAAGAATAATTTTATAAAAACACAAAAGTTGTGAATTAGTATTCTCTGGTGTTGGGCCATCCCTTGGGTTGTGGAGCTCAATTTTGCTTCTTAAAGGTGTAAATTGTGTTATAGGCTAGTTTTAAAGTTAAAAATCGAAAAGTTGCACACGTGGGGACACGCCCAAATTGATTTAAAATAGCTAAAATCACTGAAAATTTTGATTTTCACGATTTTTATCAACTTTGGAGTCCCGTTGTGATCCAAGTTCTTTTTGAAATCTTCTGAAACTTTGCATGCTTATCAAACTATATATTAAATACCTCTCTGCAAAAATTTACGGTGATTCAATATTGTATGCGCATGCAACGTCCGCTCAAAGTTTGCACGTGCGAAAGGTGAGAATTTTGCTCATTCGTGATTTCGAATATATTCTGCTTTCCACGATATTTAAATGGCACTATATATGAATTTAATGTCAACTTGAATGAGTAAAAAGTGCCATATTCAGTCGGTTATCGACAGATATACCTACCTAAACACAAGGAAACGTTTTCAAAGGCAGAATTTCGAAATCGTTGAAATTACCTCCTTATTAATGAAGTTTCGACTGTGTAAATTATCCTGACATTATAATCAAAAAGAGATGATATTTGACCAAAACCCATAATCATGGGTAGAGTGTACCGCTGCCAGTGTCTCTCTTTTCCAAAAAAAAGGAAATGATATTAATTTGAGGAACCGTCCGCTAATGCAAATTGATACCGAGAATGAAATCGGTCGCTCGCTTTTCCCATTTAATAAGCTTTATTACAATTCATTAGCCGTGAATGAATGGGAAAAGCGAGCGACCGATTTCATTCTCGGTATCAATTTGCATTAGCGGACGGTTCCTCAAATTAATATCATTTCCTTTTTTTTGGAAAAGAGAGACACTGGCAGCGGTACACTCTACCCATGATTATGGGTTTTGGTCAAATAGGTAATAATAATATATACAATAGAGAGATTGACAGTGACACATCTACAGTAGCAGACTTTCAGCCTCCTGAATCCTGATACATGTAACAATACAGTGCCAACGTATAGACGAGATGGTCAGTATTTTTGCTGGATGAAGATGTGAAGCTGGCCTATTATACTGGATGTAAAGCAACTTTTAGTGAAATAATTGACAGCCGGAGAAAGGTCGTCTCTTTTTGGCTTGATATTATTATTCTTTCATAAGATTGTTTTAAGCTCAAGTATCATGGTAGGGACCAACTAGGTATACATTTCATCATTTGAGGGACCAAATATTTTAATAATACTAATATTCTCAGAAGTCAGAATACGACTTCTCAACCAGGCAGAAACGAGGCAACCCCTCAGAGGTGATAGGAAACCAGGGAAATAGTACAGGGAAATCCGTCTGAAAAAATCGATTTGCCGACACACAAAGCTTACAAAGGATTTTTGACGTTTTTGAGTCCTAATAGGTGTCCTTAATGGCTGACCAACTTTTCCAAACTTTTCCACGTGTCTTAAGGCCACTTTTTGCCACTTTACCACTTTTTACCACCTTTCTTGTTTGTCAAATATCTTTAGTTGTGAACATCGTAGAAAGTTGCAGATTAAACGAGGGTGTTCATATTATCAAGAAGAAAAACTTTTGTTGAGACAATTTTTTCCTCAGATAATCAATTAATTGGATAATTATCAATTAGCTAATTAGCAAAAATTAAACAATTTTTTATTGGCTCAAAATGATTGGAATAGCTTGAAACACGGAGAAAAGTAGTTTTTAGAAAAACTTCGAAAATTTTTCACTTACATTTTTTTTTCAAGACCTTGGAAAAAATTTCGAATTTCCGACAAAAGTTATCAAATTGCATGAAACGTGGAGAAAAATGCTTAAAAAAAACTTCGTGAATTTTTGTTTTCAAGAATACTAAAATCACTTATATTTGTAGTTGGAGTTCAGTAAATCTCGGCAGATTTTAGTAATCAGGAATTATTAAATCGAAATAGATAAAAGGACTGAAAGTGAAACTGAAAAATG